GAAGGGATCAAAGGGAGAGGAAAGCATAAGATCGAGGGGAGCCACGTGTTAAGAGAGAGATCAAGGGGAAGAGAGAAAAGGAAGGGAAGGTCACACGCCTCACCAAACAGGGAGCCGTGGTGTCTGGTTCTCCGCACGACCGCCTCAACTTTAGTGCGTCCCTATGGCTCCTAGTCGTCGGCCATCTTTGGATGAACATTTCGAATGCATGCATTTCTGTCATGCTCATGGTGACCATCAAAAACTTAAACTACAGAGGAATCAAAAACTACCAATCACCCACTTAAGGATTAACATAAATACTTCTTACAGGTATCAACTGCGGGCAAGTGAACCAACATTCACTCAACAGGCGAATGGTACATCACAGTACTAACAAGAAACCCAATCAAAACAAAATCAAGAGGCATAATACCAGCTGAGGACTATACTAGGGGTCTAGCTATATCTGCAGATCACCCTGCATATCATCAATAGTTACGCACCCGATCTGCGCGGCAAGATGGCTAGCAACCAACTGCAAGTGTAAGCAACATGCACCCTTCAGTGAGATATTAACATGTGGTGTACAAAGAAAGTATTAATCACACGAGACAATTAAGAGACCATCAGTAGTCTCATCTACAACACATATTAGCTTGTATCCTACTTCAGTAGAATGCACTCTATCTGCTTCAGTAGTGAATCACGTAGTGGAGCTGTCTCGTACACATCACTAGGTACTGACAGTGCGCAATCCAGTCTGAGAATTTCCCTAAACAAAGTGAATGGAATAACATGTAGCAGCATCACATAAAAATGTACGTAACAATGAACGAACATGTATACAAGTATACAACCAACTTATCTGTTATTATAAATATCTATGCACAAGGAAGCAACCTCGGTTTCAGTATCGAACTACATCTGATTACATGACTGTACCAAGGAACGCATCCAATAATCCAATGCCTCAGATCTCCAGTGGGGAAAATCAGAGGTAGATGTCCGCTCTCCAGGATGTGGCCGGCCAGCAATATCGACAAGGCCATGTGATAAAATTCAAGCCTGAAGCAACATGTGAATCTAAAACAAGCTTCTTTCTAGGCCTGTATTTGCTCGGGAGATCTACAAAGAAACAAGGAATTTCGATTTCTTGAGAAATGGATGTACAATAGTATACAAACTGATATATTCAGTTCTTACAATTAAAGATGAGGACATTCTATTTCTGACCTGGAGCATCGTATAGTGAGTTGTAGTGAACTTCAAACCAGAAACTTGGCCAATGCTCTGAAAAACATGTAACTTAAAGAGTCAGCCATCATAACCAGGTATCTTTTAAGCTGTAGTCACAGAGATATGCTTAGGCATGCCTGCAACTGATATATAATTTATGTGTTGCAAATTGTGTGTAACAGATTTGATGTGGGCAATAATCCACTGAAGCAGGCTATAGTGCAAGTAATATTATGAAAGATTGTGCTTGCGAGTACTGCCTTTTTATGTAGATATGCACAACATTTGTTTGTTCCTTGGCAGAGACCAAAATGTTACCTCTCCGTGGAGCCTGATACGGTGGAACAATTTCAACAAAACAAGTATCTCTGAAAGATGTTAGAAGCATATCTTCGCATCAAACTGCCAAAAGCAAAGAGAAACATTAGGCGTCTTCTTTCTCAATGGAGCTAAGCTTGTCAAGATATAATGGTTCTTAATGTCCTGCAAACAATAGCTCTTTACAGATTCTAAATTCATCGATACACTGTAACAAAAAAAATGTAGTTACTGCGCTGAGTGACAAGGGACAAAACTAACATGTCTTCCTATAATGCCTTAAACAGACTTGGTTCATGGAGTGTCAGTAGCAGCTCTGGTATATATCTGTTGGTTCCAATACATAAATGATCCAAACTATTATTATTGCAACAACAGAAGATAGATTGGTCGGATGGTCTAGCGGTAGTTGTTTACTTCTACAGAGTAACCAGCAACTACAAATATACTAGCAATTAGCAAGCACAAGATCCAGATATACGCAACTAGCAAACAGCAGCTCAAATCGGACAATCAAGACAATGTGAACAGCAGCATCATTTATCATATACACTAATAATCCCTTCTACAGTAAGGCAACCCTCAAAAAAGAATTAGATGTAGCACACACTTATGTGAGTTTTAGTATTAGGGATACTTCTATATATTTGAATTTGAGTAATTGTCATTTTTTGCTGCTCTACGATTCTTTTATATGGGCAGTAGTGATTCATGTACAAACTACACAGGATGTTTGCAATTTTAGTGATTTAAGATAACGACACATGAATACGGCAAGTATATCTCAAATCACTGAAATTGCAATGCACTTAGAAGAATGAGGTGGACGACATGGAACAGAAAAATACGCCAGGCATTAGATCTGCTTTTCACAAAACAGGGACAAACTGAGCATTTTGTTATACTTCTATATTAACTGGATCTCAATAGATGGATGACTTATTCCAACTTCCTTACCATGATGTTAAACACATTGCATTGGAGATTAGTAAATAATGAAATGCTAAAACTACAACCAACTTTCTATCTATACTATTCAGTAAATAATGAAAATTGTTAGCATTATTTGACTCTGCTGTAATATGTCTTTTAAGTAATTACATGGAAAACAAGGTTTTGTTAAAGAATCACAAGTTTCACAAGTAAGATTTTTATAACTTTGCGAACGAAGTTCTGAAAGAGAAAATATCCACAAGTTCTGAAAATAAGGTAGGGAAGATTAAAGATAAAACATGAAGGAAAATGACTTTGCTTACCCCAGAACAACTACTGTAGTACCGTGAATATGAGTAGCTTTTATATGCACAACAGTACGAATTACCAAATACCAATCTCTGATTCCTTTCCCTAATTTCACAAGTTGACATATGACATAAAGATGCTTCTATATAATACAAGAATTGGTAAACAGAGAGGAGAAGAGAGAGTTCATATTACCAGTGTCCTGGACTCCTGGTCAGGAGCAGAGGGAGGCGACTGTCGGTCGTCCTGGTTGGCTGGTCGTCCCGTCTGGAGTGTGGAGCGGAGGGAGGCCCGAGGGACGGCTGGAGTAGCTGGACCTGCACCGGCTGGATGCCGGAGACTAGGCGGCGGCGATGGCGTCCCCTGGACGGCTGGGGTCGATGGACAAGCATGCATTAGTCGTGGCGTGGTCATACGAGGAGGCGCCGGCGTGTCGGTCCTGGCCTCCTGGTGGCGCGGGGCGGCATCGCCGCGCCGCGCCGGGCTAGGGCGGCGGCGGAAGGGCGGTTGCGCCTGATGTTGGAAGCGGCGGCGGAAGGGGGAAAAGTGGATGGATTTCCACCGATTCGGGACAAACCCCTAGCTTATTCACATGAAAAAAAAAATCTAACGATGGGCTTTACTAAAAACACCGGTTAACCGGTTTTTCATAAAAACACTTGGTTCGGGCGTTTCTTGGTCAATTGTTGGACGTTCCATGGAGGTAAGCCAACTGTCCAGATCACCGGTTCTGGTTTTTTCCTATCGAACCGTCGGTCCAGGTTCTTTAATCAACCATCGAGATCATTGGTTTTCTTTTTTCTGATCCGACTGCAAGTACGGTCGGTTTCTTAAACCGTGGGTGTTGTTGGGATACCCTCCCCATATTTTGTATCGCCATGGAGGTGAAATGAAAGGAGGAGACTATATTGATATGTCAGTCTCTCGGATCTGTCGTTACAACACCATCGATGGTCGGTCGCACCTGACGCATCCCGCCGTCGCCACTTTGTAGCACCACCGCATGCGGACTCAGCACCGATCAAAAGTCGTTGACCATGATGGTCACAACATGCTGCTGGGTCTGTCATTGTTTCTATCATTGTCGGTTGTAGCTTTCTCCCACACTGGTCGTAGCTTTCGTGGGTGGGCGTGTGGGTGACGCAATCTTGGTCGAGGCGACCGATCAGGAGTGAGATCGGTCGGTCCAATTACAATGTTTCTCTTTAACTATCGAGGTCGCGGGTTTTCTTTTTCTGGTCCGACTGCAAGTACGAACGATTTTTTAAACGTGGGGTGCAGTTGACAGCCCCTCCCCTTATTCTCTGTTGACGTGGATGTGAAAGGAAGGAGGAGACTAGATTGATATGCCAGCCTCTGGGATCTGTCGTTACAACGCCGACGGTGGTCGGTCGCACCTGACGCATCTCGTCGTCGCCACTTTGTAGCACCACCGCATGCGGTCTCACAACCAATCAAAAGTCGTCGGGCGCGCTGGTCACAACATGTCACAGGTCGGTCACAACTTCTCTCATTGTCGGCTGTAGGTTTCTCCCACACTAGTCCTGGCTTACTATGGGCAATCGCGTGGGAATGGCGCGATCTTGGTCGAGATGACCGATCAGGAGCCAGATCGGTCAGTCCAATTAAAATGTTTTTCTTTAAACAACCAATCAAGGACGCAAGCTTCCTTTTTTCTGATACGACTAAAAGTACGTTCAGTTTTTTGAAGCGTGTGTGTAGCTGGTATACCCTCCCCTTATTCTCTATTGCCATGGAGGTGGAAGAAAGGAGGAGCCTAGATTGATGTGTCAGCCTCTCAGATATGCCGTTAAGCACCGTCGGCGGGTGGTCGCACTTGACGCATATCGTCATCACCACTATTATAGTACCACCGACTGCGCTCTTAGCATCGATGAAAAGTCGTGGCCTCGCTGGTCACAACATATTCCCGAGATGATCGCAACTTCTAGCATTGTCGGTTGTAGTTTTCTCCTATGCTAGTCGTAACTTCCATGGGAAGTCGTGTGGGAATGACGTGATCTTGGTCGATACGACCAATCAGAGCGAGATCTATGAACCGATCACCGTTGTTCATGACAACACCATCGCGTCCATCATCCCAACATTGGGGATCTCCTCGTCACAACATCCTCCAACACCCGTCCCAGCGTCAAGCTCGATGCTTTTTATCAATTACTCTCTCCGTTCCATAATATAAAAGTATTTTTTACACTTCTCGAAAACGCTCTTATATTATGGGACGGAGGGACTAGTTGGGTGAGAAAAAACCGTGTTATAGGTTATTTAGCACATGTTAACTAAGTCAATTTTATAAATTCATTACTATATATTTAGGTATATCTAATTTCCCTTCAATCAATACTAAATAAAATATAAAATATACTCTATTTTTTCATGCCAAAAACACTTTTTGGAAAACTTCCATGCCAAACAAATAAATATATGTAACAATATCCCGATACTTCAAAAACAATTTCCGTCCAGTTCTCCCCGGATAAAAATATAGGATAGATCCAATTTTCCATCCGATACTTGTTCATGGCGCAAAAGCTCTAATTTTCGCGCTTAATTTTCCCTCCAATTAACTTAGTTTTTTTGAGGAATTCCCTCCAATTAACTAGAAACTCTGAATAAAATGGGCCTCAAAAGTATATCCAGCCCAACCGCCCGCACTCCACGCCCAGCACGCCGCCCCTTCAGCGCCCAGCGCGACCGCCACCTGCAACCCCCACACCCCCACCTTAACCCCTGCCTCAGCGCCGCTTCCTCGAAGTGCCTCGCCCCCGTTTGGATCTTGCAGTGACGGCTTCGTCGGTGTTCAGCTCCGGCACCTACATCCTTAAGGAGTACGATCTCTTGGCTGGTATGGATCTGAACGCCCACCCCTCCCCCGATCTGACTGCTACGAATACCACTATACGGATTCAGGGGTGGAGACGGAGGGGTGATCAGGGGTCAGACCCCTGCCAATTGCTCGCCCCCCTGAACGATTCGTAGCAGACAGTGTGTACTGTTTATGCCTAATGGCCGCATCTAATTGCATAATTAGCCCATACGTAAACAAGTAATTAAACATTCACTGATGTAGAAAAGCCCATAAACCATGTATAGCCGTGGCTGACTATAATTTTAGGATGGGCCAGCGCCTAATCCATCAATCAGATCGATCCATTGATATGTACCTAATATGTGCATGTTCTACACTTCTGACAGGGCGTTCTAGGTGAAACTTGTTTAAATTTGATCAAACTTATAGAGAAATATGACTAGATCTGCAAAATAAACTGTACATAGTGTGAATATTTTCTAAAGATTCTAATAAAAATAATCAAGTCTTCCAAATAGTGATATATATTTTGCAAACTCAAACATAAAGAAATTTGACTTAGGATAAACCTTGGCTGCTGCTTCTTGACTTGCTGGGATGGCACATGAGGCAACATGCGGCTGCTCTACTATCACCTAGTGCTTAACAAAATCTTATCCATAGCTTGAATACTGCTCAATTTGCATAATCTGTACAGTTTTCAACTTAAACCTGTTCTGGATCCATATGTCGACAGCATTATATTTGTGCGTGGGTGTGGCTGGACCCATTGTATTGGACCTCCTCTCTCTATTTTGAGTTATGACACTAGTAGAAAAAGGCCCATTTGTCCCGGTTCGTAAGGGAGGGTCGGGACTAAACCCTAAACCTTTAGTCCCGGTTCACTTACGAACCGGGACCTCAGGGGTTCCACGTGGCCGCTCTGCGGCGCCCTGGTAGGAGGACCTATGGTCCCGGTTGGTCTCTGGTAGGAGGACCTATGGCCGCTCACCAACCGG